CAGTGTAATGAAGCTAAAATAGGAGTAATGTGGTCATATTTCTTTGTTCTGGTTAAAAGCCTGGCAGCTGAGTTCTGGACAGTCTGGAGTCGATCAATAGATTTTTGGGTTAAACAGGTGAAAAGGCTGTTGCAATAATCCAGGCGTGATGAGATGAAGGCGTGTAAAATGGTCTCCTGTGTCCTTAAAAGTTAACATAGATCGAATTTTAGCTATATTTCTAAGTTGATAAAAACATGATTGAACAAGCTTTGTGGTGTGCTGCTCGAAATTTAAATTACTATCAAACCAAACACCAAGGTTCTTTGCCACAGGCTTAATGTGATTTACTAGCAAATCTGCCATCTGCTGGGACCCGATGACCAGGATTTCTGTTTTGTCTGAGTTCAGCTGGAGGAAATTATTTGACATCCATTTTTTTACTTCACAACTGCAGTTGTTAAGTGAACTCAGCATTCCAGGGTCTGTGGATCTGACGGGCAAGTATATTTGTGTGTCATCAGCATAAATATGAAAAGAAATGCCATGTTTATGGATAATATGTCCAAGGGGAAGCAGATACAAGGAAAACAAAATGGGTCCTAAGACCGACCCCTGAGGCACACCATATTTAACTGGACAGAACGAGGAGATATAGTTGTTTACAGACACGCAAAACTTCCTATTTGACAGGTAGGATGAAAACCATTCAAGGGCAGTACCAGAGATCCCCACCCAGTGCATCAGTCTGTCTAACATGATGTTGTGATCAATGGTGTCAAAAGCAGCGCTAAGGTCCAGGAGTACCAGGACTGAGCACATGCCTTCATCAGCAGACATTAAAAGGTTATTGGTGACTTTAAGCAGGGCAGTCTCAGTGCTGTGGTACTTCCTAAAACCAGACTGAAACTTTTCAAATATTTTGTTATTTTCCAGTACAGTGAGCAGCTGTTTGGACACAATTCTTTCTAGAATCTTTGCAGTAAAAGGCAGTTTTGAAATTGGTCTAAAATTATGTGGGAGGGAGGGATCTAAACCATGTTTCTTTAAAAGTGGGTTCACGCAAGCTGTTTTAAAATAATCAGGGACACAACCAGTAGATAGGGAGCTGTTGAAAACAGAGATCAAATGGGGCCCAACAGAATCTATTACTTTCAGTAAAAATTTTGTAGGTATTACATCAAGTGGGCTGGAGGACACTCTCATTTGTGTTACTGTTTTCAAAAGCTCAGACAAGTCGATGGGATAAAACTGGTTAAAACTCTCTTGTTGCTGGTGAGGAACCTCTGAGTAAGAGGCCGCGGGGGTAATAGAGGCTCTGATTGACACCACCTTATTGGTAAAATAAGATAAAAACAATTCACAGTCATCATTACTTCAAGCTGAGGCACAAGGAGGGGTTGGGTTTACCAGCTGATCCACAGTCTTAAACAGAAACCTGGGATTGTGTTTATGTGTAGTAATGAGTTCAGAAAAATAGTGTGTTCTCGCATCCTTAACCATGTTATTGTAGTTAATTAATAAATCCTTCAGACTGAGGTAATGGACTTGGAGACTGGATTTTTTCCAGTAGCTTTAATTACAGAAAAAAGAAACAAAGAAAGTAGAAATTTGTTACATTTCTCATCAGCATTGTTACTAGCAGCCGTAGAACGTCTTGATCCTTATGATGTCCCAGTTGGACAGGCCGTTAATCTGGCCGATCGGGACGTTGGGGTCGGGGATGGGGATCATGGTTTCCTTCCCATTCATGGAGAAGGCTGTTTTCCCATAGTGCATGATGGAGGAGTAGTCGTAGGGAGTATTCAGGTTGTTGGCGGCCTGCATGGCGAAGTTGTAAGCCATCTGCGGGTCGATGTTCTCCCAGTTGATATTGACGTAGGAGTCGCGGTCGGTCCTGGTATGTTCGTGCTGGAAACCCAGAGCGTGGTTGGCCTCGTGCTGAATGACGCCGTAGTAGAGGCAGTTCGGCCTTTTGAGAGAGAGCACCTGTGCGCCTCCCACTCTGCCCACAGAGGAGAAACATCCGGCTTGGTTCTCGATGCTGATGTAGTCGGCCTCATTCTGACGGGGGACAAAACGAATGCAGGTTTTGGCCTGGAAGCCGTTCAACGCAGAGTTGATCAGCTGCTTCTCCGAGCTGGTGAAGTCACTGCTCACGGTATAGGGGACCATCACCAAGCCGTTGGCAGCTTTCTTCCAGCGGCAGCTCTGGGACGAGCATATCATGGCACTTCTGGTTGTGGGAGCCAGAATGTCTCCTTCCAGCAGGATCTCGTTGGTGGCGCTGTTGGAGGTCAGAATCCTGGTGGTCATGTCGACGGTATCTGGGACATCTTCTTTGCTTCCTTCCTCCTGGACAGGATATGCCTGAGAGAAGCCGAGCAGGAGCAGCAGCAGCAGGCTGGCAGAAGGAGTCATCTTCAGGGTCGGTCTGGAGGCTGTGAAGAGCTGCTGTGGAGAGACTCCTTGAAGCTTGATGTCTGACTTTATGCAGTCCAGGGTCTTTATACTCTCCTCTACAGGTGTGTCTGCAGGAGGATTATGGGTTGGGGTCCTCACTGCTAGGCCTAAATAAACCTCAGAGGGGAGGACTCCACAGACAAACCTACTTCTTAAACAGGGTTTGTTATCTCTGGTTATAAGATGGATGAACACAGCTTCACTATGTGGTTAAATAGGTTGCATTTGTTAAGCTACACACTTTATATGGTCTTCAACCAGACATAGTCCACATTAGAGTATCTTTGTTAAAACAACCTTAATTTAAGCAGAGTAATATGTGTTTCTCTTGAAATCCCTCCCTAATATTTGCTCCATAGAAGGTATTTGTTCGTTAATTAAAAAGTAGGGAGGTAAACAAATACAAATACATTGTTCGGATAGGAACTGATAAATCGCTGTGAACGCGTATGAACAGCATCTGAATATTAGCTGAAATATTTGCTCCCCCTCACAGATCTGTCACTGGATTGACACAATTTCTTGCAACTATTGTACCAATTATTCTCAGGGTCATAAGTCAGGTAAATCAAAACCACACAGATATCACACACACTCTGATACAACCAAGAGAAGTGAGATCAATCCAGCTAAACGTCCAATATAAAAATAAGGTGCTCTTTACAACTTCAGCTCTTGCCTCATGAGTCACAAAGTACAGGTGAGGCTGATGGGAATGCCATTAGGTTTGGAGATATTTGGGCATACACCAAAGTATTACACTAATAAAAATGTTGACCTGATGGTGGCGTTAGATGAGAAGTCAGGGGAACACCAAAGTTATGACAGTTCATCCTGAGGGGGATGTGAATGTGTGTACCACATTTCATGGCAATCCATTCAATCTTTTTTGAGACATGTCACTCAAAACCATAAATGTTGACCTCATGGTGGCTCTAGAGGAAGTATCAGGGGATCACCAAAGTCAGCATGATTCATCTTCTTGCGACCATGAATGTCTGCACAAAATTTTGTGCCAATCCATCATATAGATGTTTAGATATTTTACAGGATAAAGGAAAGCTTTGGCCGGCTGGTGGAGCTACAGAAAAGGTCAAGGCATCACCACAGTCATTAGAGTTCATTCTCTCAGATACCATGAATGTCTGCACAAGGTTTCATGGCATTCATCTAATTGTTGTTGAGACAGCTCAGTCTGGATCAAAGTGGTGGACCGACTGATAGACCAACGTTGTCATTCCTAGAGACACGCTGCTTGCATAGCTGACAAATCCAGAAGGCCACATAACAACACTTACTGCTGTTCTGTAGCAACAGAAACCTCCAAAGGTCTTCTGACCCTCTGGATGAACATAAAAGTCTGGTTGCTGCAAGAAAACAAATCAGTTTAATTGTTGTGAAAAATCTCAAGTTTAGCTCTGTGACTCAAATATGGTTGTACTTGAAATAAACAAACTTTAGATAACATTCAATGAGGTTCATTCTCAATAACTTTACATCAGTTTCACCAGATTTGCACGATAAAGCTTGACTGGTGTCACGCAGATGTTCATTTTACCTCATGAGCTGATTCTCAACCACACACACTGTGTGATTTCACAGTAGACGGGAAAATGACGAGCTGAAGTTAAGAACTTTCTCAGAAATGCACACATAATTGCCAAGAAAGCTTTTCAGATTTTCTCAATCTCAGTCTCTGATTTTATAGACACTTCAAATCAACTTTATTTTCATCACAGTTTCAGATACAGAGATGGCAGATTTGCTTTACCACAAGTAAATAATCCATTTACAGCCAGAATTCAATTAAACCATCAAATAGTTAATAAAACATCTAGAGTAAGTCAGCAAAACTTATTAAATGGCCTTCTTTATGTACCCTAGATATGTTACCTTATTAGAGGGTCCTGTTCATATGTTGATCTGACATTCTGATAAACAACTAAGCTGGTGTGTTTTTTCAATAACTCAATAACTTGTGTTTTCTGTACAGTTTAAAACAAAGGTCTTGGCTACATATCTCCCCTGAGTTGTATTACAGCACACTACTTTCATCGAGAATCATTTAGCGGTTCATAATATCTCAGAGCTGGTTCAGCATAGTGTAAACTGTAAACTTGTATATAACGTATCACATCCAAGAATTCATTTCAGATGTGTCTCAAGGCTAATGCTTAGAAAACAAAAACAAGTGTGCTTTAAACTAACTTGTTACCACGTTTTGTGATATCTTTCTTGAGAATAATTTGAATTTTGTTACTATTTTGAGCATTATGTTTTACAAGGCAAATAACACTGTTATATTTTCATTGTCATACTGAGTACATTTTTTGATCTGGACTATTTTTTCATTTCTTGGACAACTGTTTTTTTTATCAGTATCTTGAAATCCAAGTGGAAGAGAATCCTTCTTTTTGCTTAAATATTCAATAATCATTGAGAAATCCTTCTCAGTAAAATAATCTTTAGCATTGGTTTCATGGGTTACAGTAGCTTTAATTACAGAATAAAGAAACAAAGAAAGTAGAAATTTGTTACATTTGTCATCAGCATTGTTACTAGCACCCGTAGAACGTGTTGATCCTTATGATGTCCCAGTTGGACAGGCCGTTAATCTGGCCGATCGGGACGTTGGCGTTCGGGATGGGGATCATGGTTTCCTTCCCATTCATGGAGAAGGCTGTTTTCCCATAGTGCATGATGGAGGAGTAGTCGTAGGGAGTATTCAGATTGTTGGCGGCCTGCATGGCGAAGTTGTAGGCATTCTGCGGGTCGATGTTCTCCCAGTTGATATTGACGTAGGAGTCGCGGTCGGTCCTGGTATGTTCGTGCTGGAAACCCAGAGCGTGGTTGGCCTCGTGCTGGATGATGCCGTAGTAGAGGCAGTTCGGCCTTTTGAGAGAGAGCACCTGTGCGCCTCCCACTCTGCCCACAGGGGAAAAACATCCGGCTTGGTTCTCGATGCTGATGTAGTCGGCCTCATTCTGACGGGGGACAAAACGAATGCAGGTTTTGGCCTGGAAGCCGTTCAATGCAGAGTTGATCAGCTGCTTCTCTGAGCTGGTGAAGTCACTGCTCACGGTATAGGGGACCATCACCAAGCCGTTGGTAGCTTTCTTCCAGCGGCAGTTCTGGGACGAGCATATCATGGCACTTCTGGTTGTGGGAGCCAGAATGTCCCCTTCCAGCAGGATCTCGTTGGTGGCGCTGTTGGAGGTCAGAATCCTGGTGGTCATGTCGACGGTATCTGGGACATCTTCTTTGCTTCCTTCCTCCTGGACAGGATATGCCTGAGAGAAGCCGAGCAGGAGCAGCAGCAGCAGGCTGGCAGAAGGAGTCATCTTCAGGGTCGGTCTGGAGGCTGTGAAGAGCTGCTGTGGAGAGACTCCTTGAAGCTTGATGTCTGACTTTGTTCAGACCAGGGTCTTTATACTCTCCTCTACAGGTGTGTCTGCAGGAGGATTATGGGTTGGGGTCCTCACTGCTAGGCCTAAATAAACCTCAGAGGGGAGGACTCCACAGACAAACCTACTTCTTAAACAGGGTTTGTTATCTCTGGTTTGTAGATAGGACAAGTTTAACTGAAGATCTCATTAGTGTTCAACCATTTAGTATCATCTGTATTTAACCAACCTTAATCCATGTAATGAGTGATAGGAATGTCTTTAGTTATTAGGTATGTGGTTATAAAACAAAATATTGGATAAAAATCTTTGACCTGATGATGGCACTTGAATATAAAATCTATGGGTCATCAATGTTATCACAGTTATTACTCTGGGTTTTTTTTAAAATCACACCCTGTTATAGCCTCATAAACAGATAACATAGACAAAAAGAGGATCCATATGAGGATTTGTAAGTGCAGCACGGGTGGCTCAGCCTGAGCTCGCTTGAACTCATGAGCGAGCAAAACACAACCACTTTCATACAGAAATTCTGCAATACACGCAGAAACACCGGCATGCAGGATGTGGCTTTTCTCCAGACATGTTCGGGCTCTGTTACTTCAACGTTCACGGTCAGAGGCAGATCAACACCGGCTCCGTACCTTTCATACAGCGCAGCGAGATGCATGTTGGCACAATACTCCCGGAATAAAGGCAGTATGACAGCGGCTGTAGAGAGAGGGAGACAGCTTCACACAACATGCTGGAAAGTCAGGTAAACTCTCACAGTATTTTTATCAGCTGCAGGTTGAACTAATCCATGCTCGTTACATGATAACGTTACATTTACTGTATTTAGCCAAGCTGCTACATCGTCAGCTCAGTCTGTCTGCTTTTCAGTAACTATCTTTACTATCTGTGAATCTTTCACCAGAGGCTCACCAGTGTAAACACAGCTACATGAACTGGATGATAATGAAACGGTTACTGAGCAGGACTGAATATTATAATGAGATTGTGCCACACTATATAACAGTTAGACCGCAGTAAGTAACTTTACTGTAGTGTTAGTGGATTGGTCTTCCTCTGTGTTGTTGTCGCCATTTTTTGCTGCAGTATTGTATATTATGTGGGTCACGTTAGTTACAGCAACTGAGAGGTGGAGAAGCTGTGTGAACGTTACGAAGCAAACACTGGCAGGTCCGAGTTAATGTAGCATTAGCTGGCTGCCCTGCCTGCATCACTATAGGCTAGTAAACACATCGCTTTTTACTATTACATCGTTTCTTGCAGGCTAAATCAACACTTTGACATAATACCGGTGGTACACAGGATAGTAACATGGGTCGCCTTAGTTGGTGAAGTAAAGTGGAAAGCGATACAACTTTACACCGGATGACATTACATTAGCCCCAAGCTAACGTGACTGTCCGTGTGTCAGAAAGTGTGATGTCTAGGGAAAGTTGCAGGACATGAAGGCTGACAGGTACAGTTCAGTGATTTAATTAACACCTAGCAGACTGGACACAAGACAACAGATAGACAGGACGGAAACCCAAAACACACACTAAATAGATACAGAACAGACTAAAATAACAAACTAAGAACTAACTAAACAGAGCAGACAGGCACACAGTGTCACACTGTGTTTCTCCAGTTTTTACTCAACATCATCTGAATCTGTTTGGTCTGATGGGCTTCAGCATATAAACCTTAATTGTTGTTTTTATCTTTACGTGGAGTCTGTGTTTTGATTTATTAATAAGTAATTTCATTGAAAAACTACAAATAGCCCCTTTAAATTTCCCTTTTGTATTGTTCAATCTGTTGATTAAAGGAAGCAGTTTCAATCATGAATTTAACCTATTAGTCCAGTGCCCGTTCACAGGGATCAATGTGACACCTCCCTGCACTTTTTGTTCAAAATGTGCATCTCACATTGGTTTCAGCAGTGGCACACACTCCAGCACATGCTTTATTGTGAGCTTGTGAAACAGTTCTTCATAGTTAATGTGTTGAAGAGCACAAAAATGTACATTCACGCAAGGGGGGACTGAACACACAACCCTCCGACTGAAAGGTCTGTTCACTTGAGTGAGCTAACCGGGAACTCAAGCTTGTTTGCCAACCCCTGACCTACATCATTAATAAAATTGAAACAACATGACAATGGTGGAGATGCTGTTAGATGTTCAGCACTTCCTTAGAACTTAACATAAAACTCTTACAACTCCGTTTCAACACATTAATATCTAACATGTATCAAATGATCAATGATGACAAATAACTCCGTTTCAACAATTCACTACCACATCGGAGCATATAAACCCCGTCCCCGCGAACATCCCACGCTCTTGCTGTTGCAGAGCTGAGCAGCATAATCCCCGCCCACACTCGCAGCTCCGCTGTGCTCCAGCGAGCACTCCCCACTGTTGCTGCTGTAGGGCTCCGCTTAAACTCTACTGTATCTATTAATTCTGAACGTGTTGCGTGTACTCCCTTGAGTCCGCAGCAACACACCTGCCACGTTTGAAGTCGATTGGACGAACGGTTCCTGACATAATCGAAATACAAACACACACACACACACACACACACAGATTTCCCTCTTTATTCGAGAGATTCAGTGAGTTCTGGTGTTTTTATGTAAGAACAATAATAGCAAAGTGCCTCCACTGTTGAACTACTAAGCTCACCTTAGTACCTCAAATATGAACAACAACAATATATAGTATGAAAAAAAGGAAAAACATTTATTTTTACTCTCCTGGTACTCCTGGTTTTAAGTTCAAAGTTTAAACCTTGCAATGAACCCTTAATAAATTACAATAGCCACAAGATGCTTTATCAAACCACTCTGGTACTCTTCAAAATAACACTTCCCTGTTTTGTTCCTCTTAGGATGGAATAAAAAAAAATATTAAACCGTGTGTTTTTTTAAAAACAAACAACAAAAGGCTGAAAATTTAACTTTACTCGCTTAACTAACGTTACCTGCGCGGGAGTGAGCGAGAGCGAGAGAGATTATTGTTATTATTTATTCTCCTGCAAATTAGCGGAGAATAAGATGATCCAGCTGTAGCTCTGTGTCTGTCCTCTCCACCTGAAGCTGTGAGCTGCACTTTATCAGAGGCGCTGAAATTAACGTGTGTGGATTTGTGGTGAGGTTAATCACCTGATAGGCAGAGGAGGCATTATACATATTTCATTTCAAAATCCTAATGTAAAGTTTTATTTGGCATTGCCTTCCTAGCTCATGCGATTTCGGAGCTGGCTCATATAGGAGGCGGTTTACTAAGTGATCAATCGCGGACAAAATGTAGCCTATAGAAATGTTGATGGAAAAGAAAGAAGTTGCTCGAGGCCGGTGCAGAAAAATGTCTCAATATTATTATATTGCTGCTCTCTTACTTCTAGCTGAAGGCAGTAGTGATGGTGTCTGCAGCAGGGGTGGGTACATCTAATGTAGGCCTACTCTTAATTTTGCTACATTTTCCATTCATTCCATCATAACTTAACAAGTCTGTAATCTGTGCTTCATTAACCAAAATGCGCTGTGATCCAGGCTGTGCGCGCAGTTACGCAGTAAACAGTTGTCACAGTCACAGAGATGGGCAGATGCAAACATTTAGAAAATCAGGCAAATACCTTTTCAGTTTAAGGCTTTATGTTCTACTAATACAACTGAAATCTAGTGAGCGTACACTATGGCACTGGTTACTACTAAATACTTTCACTTTCCATTAACGGCGCATTAAAAGCGTCTTTAGTCTCTGCAGAGCAAATGAAGACTACACACTGTAAGATCTATGTCAGACGATCACTGCATTGATTGAGATATATTAAAGTTTCCCGTTGTTGATCAGAGCTTTTTTCATCGGACATTAGCCTGTTTCTTTTCTTTAATACACTTCGGCTACTATTTGTATAATAGCAACGGTAAGTCTATAAACAGAATGTTGCCGGTGAAACTAATCTTTCACTCAGCAGCTACCAGCTGCTATTTATTTTTGAGATGCACAGAGAGAGAGAGAATAAGGTGGATAAAATAGTCATGTTGGGTTTTACGCATGACGCACACTTTATTCTGCATGTAGGTTTACCTGCTTCAACAACGAGCTGCTCTCCTGTTACTGCCACAATAATTCTTTGCGTTGTGAAGATTATTTCGATACTTCCGGAGTAATCACATTGTATTGGCAGCCTGTGCTACTGCAAAGCAAGCGGTTTGGTTGGCTACATCTCCATAATAAAAGGCAGAGGCAACAAAAGTGGGCTGGGCAGCAAAAGTGATATTTTAAAGTGATTGTAAACACCTTCATGGAGATTTAAAAAGGAAAATAATTGCAGAAATAGCTAAATTACACATAATCTGCTTCTTCACTGCATTTGCAGGAATATTTTAATGGGCTACTAAAAAAATTAACTCATCAAGTTGCCTAGTCTGATGCGATAGACAGTCCATTTTTACTCTGATCTTCACCTTTCCTCATGTGGACGCTGTGATCCTGCACAACAAAACATGCAAAAATTAAATCCCCACACTACCATGGATAGTAGTGGTGCAACGGTTTGCAGAATCCGCACGGTGCAGCACGCAGGTGGACCGCGGATTGATTGCATAGTTTATAATGATTTATCCTGTTTGAGCTCTCAAATATTCCTTTATTCTGGAAATGTCATAGAACCCAGTTAGATTCTGAATGTGCAGAACTTTGAACATGAGCAGAAAACCTGCTGAAACACAGGAGCTATTAAAGTCCAGGAGTTTCTAACTGAATTAAAATTATTATTGAAGACGTAAAAAGGTGCCACATGCACATTTAAAGAGGTTACCTCAATCAGTCACGTCTGCGTGTGTGTTGATTCAGCAGTGATGATATTAAAAGTTGATCTACAGGAGAAACATATCTGAAAGCAACCCAGAATGCCTGAGAGCTGCTCTGCATTATATTCTGTTACAGTTTTAGATTTTAAATTGTTTTATTATACCTTTATTAAACCAGAAAAACTCTTTTGTGAGTGTCCTGGCCAAGGCAGGCAGTAGCACAATTGCAAATTTAAGATGGAAATAAATAATCAGTAACAAGGTCATAAAATATCAAAATGTTCTTAAATATTCACCACAATTCAGCAACAAGGACGATCAAACGAGTAAATCAGTCATAACATCTGAAGGCAGAATTGCCAGCCTTCAAGTCATTTAAAAGCAA